ACTACCAGCAGAGTAGAACACTTAGAAGATAGAACATCAGACAATGAAGACAAAGTATTTCAACTGGAAAAGAACATAGACAGCTCAGCAAGACTGTTAAGAAACCATGAGCAGAACATCCAAGAAATATGGGATAACATTAAGAGACCAAACTTAAGAGTCATTGGGATACAGGAAGGTACAGAGCTCCAAACCAAAGGAATGAGCAGTCTATTCAATGAAATAATACAAGAAAACTTCCCAGACTTGAAGAATGAGACAGAATCCCAAATCCTAGAAGCCTACAGGACGCCGAATGTGCAAAATCATAAGAGATCCACACCTAGACACATTATAATGAAGATGCCCAACATACAGAATAAGGAGAGAATTTTAAAAGCTACAAGAGAAAGGAAGCAGATTACATTTAGGGGTAAGCCAATCAGGATAACAGCTGATCTTTCAACACAGACTCTGAAAGCTAGAAGATCCTGGAATAACATATTTCAATCACTGAAAGAAAATGGGTTCCAACCAAGAATTGTGTATCCAGCGAAATTAAGCTTCAGGATGGAGGATGAAATTAAAACCTTCCACTATAAACAAAAGTTTAAAGAATTCGCAGCCAGAAAACCATCTCTTCAAAACATCCTCGCCAAAGCATTACAGGAAGAGGAAATGGAAAATAACAATGAAAACCAACAGTGGGAGGTAGGACAGTAAAGGGGGGGGGAAATAATCAAAGAGGAAAACAAACCATGTTTAGTAACATAAATAAACAAATATGGCTGGAAGAACAACCCATATCTCAATAATAACCCTAAATGTTAATGGCTTAAACTCACCAATTAAGAGACACAGGCTAGTAGAATGGATCACAAAACAAGACCCAACAATATGCTGCCTACAGGAGACGCATTTGATAGGAAAAGACATACATAGGCTGAAGGTGAAAGGTTGGGAAAAATCATATCACTCATATGGACTTCGGAAACAAGCAGGCGTGTCCATACTCATATCAAATAAAATAGATTTCAAGCCAAAGTTAATCAAAAGAGATAAAGAGGGACACTACATACTGCTTAAGGGAACCATACACCAACAAGACATAACAATCATAAATATTTATGCCCCAAACAATGGTGCAGCTATGTTCGTCAAACAAACTCTTCTCAAGTTCAAGAGTCTAATAGACCACCACACCATAATCATGGGAGACTTCAACACACCTCTCTCGCCACTGGACAGATCTTCCAAACAAAAGTTGAATAAGGAAACTATAAAACTCAATAACACTATTAATAACCTAGACCTAATTGACATATATAGAGTATACCACCCAACATCAAGCAGTTACACTTTTTTCTCAGCAGCACATGGATCCTTCTCAAAAATAGATCATATATTATGTCACAGGGCAACTCTTAGACAATATAAAGGAGTAGAGATAATACCATGCATCTTATCTGATCATAATGGAATGAAACTGAAAATCAACGATAAAAGAAGGAAGGAAAAAGCATACATCAATTGGAGAATGAACAATAGGTTACTGAATGATCAATGGGTTATAGAAGACATCAAGGAGGAAATTAAAAAATTCTTAGAGATAAATGAAAACACAGACACAACATATCGGAATCTATGGGACACATTGAAAGCAGTTCTAAGAGGAAAATTCATTGCTTGGAGTTCATTCCTTAAAAAAAGAAAAAAACAACAAATAAATGATCTCATACTTCATCTCAAAGTCCTTGAAAAAGAAGAGCAAAACAACAGCAAAAGAAGTAGAAGGCAAGAAATAATTAAAATCAGAGCTGAAATTAATGAAATTGAAACAAAAGAAACAATTGAAAAAATTGACAAAACTAAAAGTTGGTTCTTTGAAAAAATAAACAAAATCGACAGACCCTTAGCCATGCTAGCGAAGAGAAGAAGAGAGAGAACTCAAATTACTAACATACGGGATGAAAGAGGCAATATCACAACAGACACTTCAGAAATACAGAAGATAATCAAAAGTTATTTTGAATCCTTATACTCCAATAAATTAGAAGATAGTGAAGGCATAGATAAATTTCTTAAGTCATATGATCTGCCCAGATTGAGTCAGGAGGATATAGACAACCTAAACAGACCAATATCAATTGAGGAAATAGAAGAAACCATCAAAAGACTACCAACTAAGAAAAGCCCAGGACCGGATGGGTATACAGCAGAGTTTTACAAAACCTTTAAAGAAGAACTAATACCAATACTTTTCAAGCTACTTCAGGAAATAGAAAAGGAGGGAGAACTTCCAAATTCATTCTATGAGGCCAACATCACGCTGATACCTAAACCAGACAAAGACACTTCAAAGAAAGAAAACTACAGACCAATATCTCTAATGAACCTAGATGCAAAAATCCTCAATAAAATTCTGGCGAATCGGATACAAAAACATATCAAAAAAATTGTACACCATGATCAAGTAGGATTCATCCCTGGGATGCAAGGCTGGTTCAATATACGGAAATCAATAAATGTTATTCACCACATCAATAGACTTAAAAATAAGAACCATATGATCATCTCGATAGATGCGGAAAAAGCATTCGACAAAGTACAGCATCCCTTTATGTTCAAAACTCTAGAAAAACTAGGGATAACAGGAACATACCTCAATATTGTAAAAGCAATCTATGCTAAGCCTCAGGCTAGCATCATTCTGAAAGGAGAAAAACTGAAGGCATTCCCTCTAAAATCTGGAACAAGACAGGGATGCCCTCTCTCTCCACTTCTCTTCAACATAGTTCTAGAAACACTGGCCAGAGCAATTAGACAGACGAAAGAAATTAAAGGCATAAAAATAGGAAAAGAAGAACTTAAATTATCACTATTTGCAGATGATATGATTCTATACCTAGCAGACCCAAAAGGGTCTACAAAGAAACTATTAGAGCTAATAAATGAATTCAGCAAAGTGGCAGGATTTAAAATCAACATGCATAAATCAAAGGCATTCCTGTATATCAGCGACAAATCCTCTGAAATGGAAATGAGGACAACCACTCCATTCAAAATATCTTCAAAAAAAAAATAAAATACTTGGGAATCAACCTAACAAAAGAGGTGAAAGACTTATACAATGAAAACTACAGAACCCTAAAGAGAGAAATAGAAGATCTTAGAAGATGGACAAATATACCCTGTTCATGGATAGGCAGAACTAACATCATCAAAATGGCGATATTACCAAAAGTTCTCTATAGGTTTAATGCAATGCCAATCAAAATCCCAACGGCATTTCTTGTAGAAATAGAGAAAGCAATCATGAAATTCATATGGAAAAATAAAAGACCCAGAATAGCAAAAACAATGCTAAGCAAGAAGTGTGAATCAGGTGGTATAGCGATACCAGACTTCAAACTATACTACAGAGCAATAGTAACAAAAACAGCATAGTACTGGTACCAAAACAGGCGGGTGGACCAATGGTACAGAATAGAGGACACAGAAACCAATCCACAAAACTACAACTATCTTATATTTGATAAAGGGGCTAAAAGCATGCAATGGAGGAAGGATAGCATCTTCAACAAATGGTGCTGGGAAAACTGGAAATCCATATGCAACAAAATGAAACTGAATCCCTTTCTCTCGCCATGCACAAAAGTGAATTCAAAATGGATCAAGGAGCTTGATATCAAATCAGAGACGCGCCGTCTGATAGAAGAAAAAGTTGGCTCCGATCTACAGTCTGTGGGGTCGGGCTCCAAATTCCTCAATAGGACACCCATAGCACAAAAGTTAATAACTAGAATCAACAAATGGGACTTACTCAAACTAAAAAGTTTTTTCTCAGCAAAAGAAACAATAAGAGAGGTAAATAGGGAGCCTACACCCTGGGAACAAATCTTTACTCCTCACACTTCAGATAGAGCCCTAATATCCAGAGTATAGAAAGAACTCAAAAAATTAGACAATAAGAGAACAAACAACCCAATCAACAAATGGGCCAAGGACCTGAACAGACACTTCTCAGGAGGACATACAGTCAATCAACAAGTACATGAAAAAATGCTCAACATCTCTATCTGTCAGAGAAATGCAAATCAAAACCACCCTAAGATACCATCTCACTCCAGTAAGATTGGCAGCCATTAGGAAGTCAAACAACAACAAGTGCTGGCGAGGATGTGGGGAAAAGGGTACACTTATACATTGCTGGTGGGACTGCAGATTGGTGCAGCCAATTTGGAAAGCAGTATGGAGATTTCTTGGAAAGCTGGGAATGGAGCCACCATTTGACCCAGCTATTCCCCTTCTTGGTCTATTCCCTAAAGACCTAAAAAGAGCATGCTACAGGGACACTGCTACATCGATGTTCATAGCAGCACAGTTCACAATAGCAAGACTGTGGAACCAACCTAGATGCCCTTCAATAGACGAATGGATAAAAAAAATGTGGCATTTATACACAACGGAGTATTACTCTGCATTAAAAAATGACAAAATCATAGAATTTACAGGGAAATGGATGGCATTAGAGCAGATTATGCTAAGTGAAGCTAGCCAATCCCTAAAAAACAAATGCCAAATGTCTTCTTTGATATAAGGAAAGTAACTAAGAACAGAGTAGGGACGAAGAGCAGGAGAAGAAGATTAACATTTAACAGGGATGAGAGGTGGGAGGGAAAGGGAGAGAGAAGGGAAATTGCACGGTAATGGAAGGAGACCGTCAGGGTTATACAGTGGAGGGGGTAGAGAGAGAGGAGGGGAGGGGAGGGGAGAGGTGGGGAGGGGGGAGGGTGGAGGATGGGAAAGGCAGCGGAGCACAACAGACACTAGTATGGCAATTTGTAAATCAATGGATGTGTAACTGATGTGAATCTGCAATCTGTGTATGGGGTGAAGGTGGGAGTTCATAACCCACTTGAATCAAAGTGTGGAATATGATATGTCAAGAAATTTGTAATATTTTGAACAACCCACAATAAAAAATTAAAAAATAAATAAATAAATAAATAAATAAATGGAGCTACATAAAACCACTTGGGTTGTGGTAATTTCTGTGGCTCTGTGACCTCTGTTTAGACTGGAAAAACTTATGTCCACCCCTCAGCAGGTGGACATGACATAGATGCTCAAGAAGACAGTGGAGGATGAGGCTGAGGGAAGAGGGCGTGTGGAATAGAGAGATTCTGTGAGGTCACAAGCCCCCTCAGAGAGTGAAATTCCAAATTTCCAAGAGGACACTTTCACCAAAGCTCACAGGAATATGCTGGTGACAAGGGCCTGCTTCACTAAAAAGGTGGGTGTTTTCCTATGCAGGCTGGGATGAGGGTGGGGAAGGGGCTCATTCATATTCATGGGGAGGGTTTGGTCCTGAAAGGTCAGGAGATCAAGTGGTGGCAATTAATCAGCACTGACCAGAGACCATGCCCACCACAGCAACCCCAGAGCAGCAGTCAGGGGTGCTCTGATCTGCAAGGGGCTGTGGAATTTTGTGGAGTTTTATGTCCCTAGGGTCAAACAGATAGGTGTCAGACGACCAGTAAGCACCCTTCTCAATATCAGCAGTAAACATAAAACTGTGGAGCAGGAGGCTGAAAGTGTTTGAACCAATAAGTCTTGATTCCGTTCTCAATTCTGAGCCAATTTTCAGATTCAGAACCCAGTGACTGAAGATGTGTCCACATCAAGGGAAGAAAGAGCCTAGGACACCATGACAATGACATGTGGCCATGATTCCCTCAGTCCTTCTGCCAAGGAATCATCATTATCTCAGGAGACTTCATGAAGAGAGAGAAACAGGCAGGATGCTGGGGAGTGTCAGGCACTGGGATTGAGTTGACACCAACACACACATACCCACAGCCTCACCATTCCTGCCCTATAGGATGCAGTGTTAAGAGTCTGGACTGGATGCACATCCCATAGAATATGAAGTCAGTTCATTTTATCCCACATCATGCTGCCTGGGATGGATGATCAAGAGGGGGAAAGTGCCCTGGAGCTCTTGATGAGGCACACGCACCTCAGAAAGTGGAAGATAAAACATTCAGAGATTCAGGAGTGGCTCCTTCATTGTGATTTAGGGGTCCAGCTGTTAAAGACAAGCAGAGATTTCTCCTCCATGGTACAGGACCAGCTGCTGCACCTGGCACCTCTCACTGCAGGGAAGGAAGCAGGCGGCCTGTGCCTCTTTGGATTCTTACAACATAACCTTCTACACTGAGGCACAGTGTTTGTGCCACATATTTGGTGACATAATAGGCCAGATTCATGTGGGACCTGGACAGGAATGGACACTATTACAGTTCCAGGCCATGATAGTGTCAGCCACCACCCTCAGACTCCACTGCTATGGGGGTGTCAGTGATGTGAGAGGTGAAGGATGGAGCTGAACCAAGCACAGGATGAGAAACACTATCAAGGGCCCTGGGGTCTGAGGGACGCCATGCCTTCCACACCCAGAAATGTGCCCCTCTCAGTAATGAGCTTTTGTGTGTTGCTAGGCCTGGTGAAGTTTGACCATGGGACACTAAAGAACACTGGAGTGATGATAGCCAACATGGACTGGGCTCTGTGGAGCTCACTAGGTCACAACCTGGACAGGTCTGGGACAGTCCATCATCACACAGAAACAGTACATCTGGGCTTGAGCCTGAATCACATGCAGAAAACCATCACCCTGAAGTGGCTCTGAACAGCCAAGTAGACAAATGGACAGGATCCAACAGTTACAATTTGGATTTTCCATGTCCCAAAGGCACATGAGTTACAGACTTCTTCCCCAGGCCATGGCACTATCTGGAGATGATGGAAGCTCAGGATGTGGACCCTACTAGAAGGAAATGAAGACACTGGGTGTGTGTCATTGAAAGGAATGGTGGGATGTGGCCCCTTCCTGTCTCTCTTTTTGCTTTCTAGCTGCCATGAGGGGATCAGCTTCCTCTGCTAGGGGCTCCCCACATTCATGTTCTGTCTCACAGCAGGCCCCAAAGCAACAGAGCCTTCTGACCAGGGACTGAAAGTTTTGAAATAGTGAGCCCAAATAAACCTTTCCTATTTTCAGGTTGGTTGTCTAAGGTATTTAGCAAGAGTAACAGAAAGCTGAATAACATATTTGTGTCATTACTGCCCACCCAGGACTCAAATGACAGGTATATAACTGGAGTATCCACAAAGCAGAGATGCACCCTGTATTTGAGCCCACCAGCAATTCTTCTTCTTATTAAGGCTGATTCAGATGCTACCATATCTTAACATCCAAACTCTGAGAATTAGGGACCAGTACTAATCCTGGAGATACCAGTATTTCTTTAGGCACTAAATAACAAATTGATTACACTGAGCCAGTTGCATCCTAGAAGGGCAGAGGTTCATTGTCCTAGAAATAGACAGGGATTTCATGTGTCAGTTTTACCTTCCATGACTCAGACCCTTATGGGCTACTCTGAAGGGCTGTCATCATGCCACATCCAAAGGATTCAAATTGCTCTTACTTTATTATCTGACTGTGACAGCAATCACAGTGATACAGGTGTGGCATGAGCCATGACCATGGGACCCACAGGTCATGCACAGTCTGCATTATGCAGGGGCTGCCAGCCACACACAATGCTGGATGGGTCTTGTAAGGCACACCTGAGCATAAGCTTTGAGGAAGCCCTCTGAAGGGCAAGCTTCCTTTTTTGAGGACATAGTGTATTTATTGAATCAGAGACCTCCTTATGGTGCTGTGCTCTCAAAGGAAAGAACATGTGGGTCCAGAAACTAAGTGACTCCATTCACCATCACTTAGATTTACCCACTGGGGATCTTGGACTTCCCATCTCTGCCACTCTGGTCTCTGCAGGATAGGAGGTACTGATTTCCTGAAGGGGAGCATTTCTAACAAAGGATACGAGTGGGCCATTGAACTACACACTGCTGTTGCCACAGGGGAGGTTTTAATAGTGTTATGGTTTGAATGTGAGATGTCCCCTAAAAGCTCATGTGTGAGACAATTCAAGAGGACTTAAAGGTAAAGTGATTGGGTTATGAGAACCTTATTCCAATATGTGGATTAATCCTTGATAGGGATTAACTGGGAGTGATTTAATCCAGGTAATGTGTGCCTAGAGGAGGTGGGTCATTGAGGGTGTGCCTTTGGGGTATATATCTTGTATTTTGTGAGTGGAGTCTCCCTCCCTGCTTCCTGATTACCATTCCCCAAGCCACTTTCCTCCACCACACCCTTCTGCCGTGATGTTCTCCCTCCCTCAAGCCCTGAGAAATGGAGTTAGTCTTCTATGGACTGAGACCTCAGAAACCATGGAACCATGGACTCCAAAATAAATATTTTCTCCTCCAATTGTTCTTGTCAGGTCTTTTAGTCACATCAATGAAAAAGCTGACTAAAACGCTTCTGGGACCAGCAGGAGGGCAGAGGACACCCTCAACTCCTTTCTTGCCAGTGGTGATAGAGCCTGATCTTCACAAAGAGGGAGGGCTGCTGTCACACAGTGAGGGCAGGAGGGGTATATGTGAATGCCAGTGATCCACATGGGTGCCCTCTGGTTCTCCTTGTCCCATTTTAACTGGAAGCTAATCCCTGTACCTGCCTTGCCTCTCAGGGTTTGATTTCCAAGATCCCAGACACCTCAGGAAGATTTGGGTCACATCCTCAGGATGTCCAATAAGATCCCTGCTCCTGTGTTGAGACCCAGAGTGGCACTATTGCAGAGGACCTGCTTACCAGGGCTGTTGAGGTCAATGATTGATGGTAGAGCTTGGATCTGGAATGTCCCATGGGAGCCCATGTGTTCAAGATGTACTCTCCAGCTTGGCACAATGGGAAGGTGGAGGAAACCTGAAGAGGCGGGGCCTAGAAGGAGGTCTTCTGCCTCCTAGAGACATGTCACTAGAGGCAATCAAGGAAAAATACCCCTTCCTCTCTTTGCCACCATGAGGTGATGGGCTTCCTGAGTCATGCACACTTGTCATGATGAACTCTCATCTGTGACCCATGCAGATGAGACAAACTGGATTTAAATGGGCTGGCTGCAAATTTAAACTAAGAAGGTGGCGAGAAATCATAGGACATGGAAATAATTTGGGGATCAAGGGCAGGACAGCTCTTTGACCTTAAGATCATGCTTCCACACTGGAAAGAGGGAGAGCTGGGACCTACAATATGTGTGTATATAGCAGAATTAACAAAGGAGTTTTGGTAGAATATTCTTCATCAAATAAGACAGGGGGTATGCTGGTCAAGCCCAGTAGGTAAGGCCCAGATCCGGAGCCAGGGGAAAGCAGACTTCTTTGCTGAGTGAAGGTGGAGGCCACCTGCATCACGCAGCCCACACAGAGAGCAATGCCAGACCAACACCCCCTTGGCTCAAGGCTGAGAAAGGATGCTTAATAGCTCATGGGTGGCTACCCACAATCAACTGTGGTAACACAGGCCAAAAACACCAGAGCCAACAATCAAACTTCCCAAGCTAAATAAACATTTTACAAACCAAAATAAACCTTTCTGCTTTTAAAGTTGATTATTACAGGTACTTGTTAAAAAAAAAAATGGTCAAACCAAGGTCACTGATGCCGGCCTGTTGCTGGGAGGCATGGGACTCCTCTGCTGGCCATTACAGGACACTTTTATGTCCTGGTTGTACTTTCCTTAGGTTGCCTGTGGTCTAGGACCCATCCTACAAGCTCTTCTTCCTCTGTCCATCTCCCAGGGTCTGATTATACCTCAATCTGAAGGTTTTCCCAGGAATTTCTGGCTCCTTTCTCACATTCTCAGACAGGTGTTTCCCCAATTAAAATGCTGGTGAGCTCAAACCCACCTTGCAGCTCTGTCTTGGAGAACACGACTAACAAATCATTTCCATTTGTGTGTTATTGTTATTATAACGATCTACTTATTACTTATTCCAGCTTAAGAAATCCTTTGTTTAGGCAAATTTTTCCACCTCCCGGGCCCCACCCACATTGATGATCTATGTGATATTTCAGTGATTTCATGGATGCTTCTTGCTATGCCAACTCTCTTCATATCTGCTGTTCTACAGGTGTCTTCTCCATCTCCTTACTTTCTTGCATAGTGATAATGTCTGTTACTCTGTCTCTTTCCAATGCTGCTTGTCCTCTTCTCTTCCTTATTTTTGTCTTTTCTATTTCCTTCTCTTTTCCCTCTCTCCATTTCTCTTTGCCTCCCTTCTTTAATGTTTTCCTTTTTATTTGGGAAGATTTGAGTCCAATGTAGTACCTCAGTGGTTTACTAGAAGGAAACAGGAACTGGACCTTAGGGACTGGACCTATGTGCTGACAGTGTGAGGCCAGGGCATGTGGAATAAAGGAACTTCACCACAATGCCATGAACTTCCCCTGACCACTGAGTCTGCTGTGAGAAAAAGAGAAGACCACAACACAACTTGTGTTCTTTGTGGATGTCAAGGCCAACAAGCACCAGATCGGACTCTGGTCTGATGCCACTGATGTGGCCAAGGCCAATATCCTTATCCAGCCAGGTGCAGAGAAGGCCCAGGCTCAACTGCTCCTAATTGTGTTGCTTCAGATGTTGCAACAAAATGGGGATCGTCTAAACTCCATCCAGCTGGATCATTCTAAATACAATTTTTTTTTTCAAATAAAAGAGAGAGAGAAAGGACAGTGAATGTGTATTCCTTTCCTTGAGAGGTAAAGACAAACTGGTTCTGGTTGAATTATAGATAGTAATGGAGATAAAACCATTCACCAGTCAGGGATGGTGGCATACACTCCAGAGACTCAGGAGGCTTGAGGCCATCCTCAACAACTTAGTGAGACCCTGTTCAAAATAAAAAATAAAGAGGACTGGGTAGTACTCATTGGTAAACAGCCTGTGGGTTGGATATCTAGTACTCCTGCCCCATACAAAAGGTGTTTTCTAGGTTAATGGCTGCATATCAGGTATCAGGGGATGTGTTATTTTGCTCATGCAATAAAAACTTATGTGACACAGAAGTTGCAGTTGGAGGTGCCCCTGGTTAAGTTTCC